GATCTGACGAGCGCGGGGCCCGCTCAAACGGAGGCCCAGAACCGCCCCCACCACCGAATTTCCTGCCCGATAATGTGCCGGCCCGTACATGCGTGTAGTCGAGTGAAGTGGACCCACGGAGGGACTGACAGGTGGGGCGTTGGGCCATCCTGTTGCCTGCGCATTTTTTGGGGGACATTTTTTTTTGTCCGCTTTTCGTGAAGCAGTGTCAGTGTTTTCTGGTCTTTTTGTGCACAAATATATATTACGCTATGCCTTTTTATTATTTGTTTAATTGACTCTCCGCCTTATCGTCACAAAAGAAGCTGAATGCATAAGCATCAGCATAAGCCAAATTTTAGTATAAGCGAACAGGGTGAGTATTTTTTTTTTTGTGACAATGCATAGCAGTTAGTATAGCGCATCAAAATCAACATGTTTTGAGAGTTTTTGTAAGTGGGAGAATAGCACATAGCAGTCTACAGCTATTGAGACATTAAAAAGGCAGCAGTAATAATTAGTGCAGGGAAAAAGTGTTTTTTGCGTGCACTTTTCGGGCGGGAAAAAGTCTAAGATAAAATATGTTGTACCACGTATAATAACATAAAAACGTACAACACATAATAGATATGTGTACATATGTTCCAGTTTTGTTGGCGTGCCGTGGTGTAAAGTGAAAAATCGTTGAGTTAGTACAAAGCCCTTTTTCTTAGTGTGTGACCAGGGTGATTGGTTATTTTTAGGACGACCAGCAGTCCTGTCCAGCTAGCTGTTGGAGTACCAACTTGGATGCGGCTGTAAAGTGTATATGATGCATAAAAATCAGTACTTTACTTTAGATTGCTAAAATTGTACACCGGTACTTTGCTTTTGCACTCATTTTTCTCTCGTGTCTCCCTTGTGATTTGCGTTAAAATAAGAGAGATAGCATACCGGGTCCAGACAATAGCTCATACTTTAGCATTTGCACAAAGGAATTCCTATCATTTTAGCCGTGCTTATAATATAGTTAGAGATATTGTATAAATAAACATGATAATGACGGAGCGCTCATCGGGTTGCACGTACAGTGTTAGGGATTGACTCCAAGCTCGCAAGGATTTACGTATCTGCTAAATAGATTCTAGGTGCACAAGGGATAGGGGTAGAATCTTCATGGAAAATGGCAGATAATATTTTTGTGACATCCCGTCGTTCTGCAGACGGCGATCGCTGGAATTTGTTCAGGAAGAGGACGGGAAAAGTAAGCTTCCTTTCATGTCCTGTAGTTCGTGGCTCACGACTTGCTCTGACTTATACGGCACATATTCTCCTAGTAGAAATCATTTTCATGGCGTGACAAGAGGGGATTTGTGTGTGTAGACGATTTCCATCAGTTTTCATACACAGAAAAACTATGCCAACTTCCATCTCATACAGCGCACGAATTCTTTTATAAAAGAGGAAAACATACTTTAGTAATTGTTTGTATATAGTGTCAAAAATTATCTCATCATGTCACACAAGAGTCAACACTAATATTATAAAAAAAATCAATATGTTCTTTAGCACTACTTTTCAACGAACGAACAGTGTTTCTCTCTCATAACAAATACAAAAAAACCAAATTTCAACGAAACGAACTGGACCCATGTCTTTGTCAGAGACGTCGCTAGACGTTCCTGCACCACAATGGTGGCTGGTGGCTCTTTGGACACATTTGGATGGATGGATGCCCATAGGCTGTAGCAGCCCGGCTAAATTTCGGCCGTTGACCATAGGCACAAAGCTACGTTTGGATCAAAGACAGAATTTGGACGTATTTTTGTACCTAGTTCTTTCTGACAAACTGGGTCAGTTGTGATCTTCTACAGTGAATTGCAAGAACAGGCGAGTTTTTTTTTAAAGATTCCTTGGAACAAATGGTAGTACACAGGAACTGGTCAACACATAAATACGTGAGCCGATTCAGCGCGGGTGAGTACACATCACGACGGCATAAAACCGATCCTCCACTTTTATCTTTTGTTTGGTGCAAGTTACTTGAAGGCTAAATGGTGTGTATGTGCGTGTCTGGTCGGCTCGTAGCCGGAGTTGGAGTTGGACGGACTGAACCGTGCCACTACCACTAGCAGTAGCAGCGCGATATGATGACGGAGGCGCCCGGCACGAAAGGCAGGCGGCGGCAGGCCAAAAGCAACCGGCAGTTGACGTACGGGGGTCGCTGGCCGCTACTCTAACTTAACGCACGGCCGCTTGCCTTTTGGGCATCCGGTTGACATGCCAGCCAGAAAGCACACAAAGGCACAAGAATCCGGGCAAAATATGCATACATGCATACGACGAATAACCAAGGTCCTTGTGAACATGCATGATACACAGTTTTTTTTTTTGAGTGGATGCATGATACACACAGATGCCAAATGTATACGGCGAGAGGATGGGGATTATGCTGCAGGTCGATATGACCATAAGAGGCCGTTGGGGTACGGTTATGGCCTGACGGCCACTGGCATTTTTTTTTTGAAGTTACTGGCATGCAGTTTTGTTTGGTATCCACCGTTGGCTGAGGCTCTCAACAGTCCCAAGAGCAGTTAGCTCCGTCAAAACGACCTTTTGTCGTCTCCATTTGTTGAGTTCGGCAACGGATGTTGATTGCTATGCATACGCGCATGATCCAAAGCCGCAACGGAAAACTGCCTGTCCTCTTCTTTTCTGCAACCGCGACGACACGGGTGGAGAAGTTTCACTTGGCCTTGACGAGTTCTACACGTCGATGCAGGTCTTCGTTTCAACTAGTAAACTTATTGTAAAAAAAAAACTAGTAAACTGGCGGTATGTCGATCTTTTCGCTATATCGTCTTGGTTTATTAGATTGCAAGTTTTGGAATTTTCGCTCGCACTCCCCTCCTCGCACATGTGCATCATAGCAGCCATGACTCTAAAGGCTTAGGCCTCACTTTGCTGCATCCCCTTTGCGTCGTCAGCATGATTACAGGGGGGCATCAAACGACCAAGCAAGCCGTCCCACAATCATGTCCATACAAGTATACAACTCGTCGGAGCCCCCATTTTTTTATGCGCTCGCCGCTCGGCGTCAGACAGGGCCGCACACATCCGGAGCGCCTTGTCTTTGCTTTCCTTTGCATCCTCATGGCCGCCCCGGGTCTTCTGACCACTTCTGAACTTTATATATTCTCCTCGTGCCGTATCAACATCATGCTATCGTGATTCTACTCATTCCTTGCCATGATGAATATACATACACAGGGCCGTCCAGGGGTTTTTATATAACTCAGCAACCGTGGCCTACTAAGCTGCGTGCTCGTCCCTCTGTAGTCTGTAACCGCATCGCATGATGCCGCAATCAGCAGCGCAATTTATTTTTGGAGTTGGTTTCATGGTTCTTGGTTTGTTTGATTTGATAATGCAGGTGCCTTTCAGTGTGTGTCTGTGTTGGTGTGATAATTCAACACGGCACGGCACGGCAGGGCAGGACACTAATCAGCTGATAACCCTCTCCTAGACTCCTATGTATAGTGATGTCTCCTTGTTGGGTTCTCTGGTTAGCACAGCACTTGATCTGCTCCACAAACAAAATCATTCTTCCAAGTGCTGCATGGATGGATGGACTGGGACTGGATAGGACGGCCTTTCAGTTGCATTGCACCCATGGGTCTTCTCACAGGTCATTTTCTTTCAGAGAAAGCGAAGGGCATGGAAGGCGATGCTATTTGGCCTTGTGTAGTGTTTGAAGTTTGAATAGAGGTGTCAGTTTTAGCAGAACCACAATCTGGTTTGCCTGAATTAAAGTTTTAAGAGCCACGACTTCACTTTCACCCAACCTGCAAGTTGACGCCGTGTCGAGATGTACAGAATCTACTTATACTTATTATGCTGATAGATTGCAGCAACCAAATGCTATTAGCCCAAACTGATACGCCTCTTATATACGCTTCGTATCCCTGTCACGCTGTCAACTTCGCGTTGTGAAATGTCAGGAAGTTGCCAGAAATACAGATTGGTGGATCATCATTAAGAACAAATCTGAAACGTACTTAAAAATCACACTAGAAAACTTGCTGTGGTATTACGGATGCTTCAGCTTATCTTTCTGACAATCTGTCAACTAGTACAGATTTCAGACCACTGCTCTGAATGCTTCAGTTTGACAGTTTTCTGTACCTTTCGTTCAAACAAAAAAAAACAATTTTCTAGACCTCTCTTTCAAAAAAGAAACGATGCTCCACTTCCAACAAGAAGAAACCAGATGTTAGCGTCACGCTAACCTGTAACATGATGCTGAATGACACTGTATGTTGAGATCAAAATCCCATCATCATTAGAGGGGCTAGTGGAGTTGTCGTGGACGCATAAGCTAGCAGGGTCGCCTCGCCTGATGGCAAGGGAACGCTCGCCGCAATACATACAGCCAGTGCGTGCGTGTTGCTTCTTCGGGGCGGCTCAGTTCTGTTAAATGTCAACGTCTGACGTGAAAGATACCCAGCAAGTTGCACCTGTCATGCTCCGTTTACATACAAATTACCCAAACACATATAGTTTTGTTGCTAATCAATTGGGCTCCTTCGCTTGGCCGTTTCTCTATAAAAATCAACAAAGGAACCAACATTCGCATGTTACTGCTGACATCCTCTCACTTTTTTTTTTGAAAAAAAGTCTTCAGAAATCGGTAAAGGGCTTATGAACCATACAAATGGCAACAGAACCAGACCATACAAATGGCAACAGAACCAGACATAAGACACTTGAAAAAAACAAACCCCTCTTGCTCCATCTATTTCTCCGAGTATTGTGAAAAATTCAGCACGGGTGCTATGTAGCATGTACAGACACATTCAGAGCAGCCATCTTATGACACTACCTTGACGCTGCTGGATTTCTTCGCTCTTTCGCCAGAGAGACGGGCAGGGGGACGATACCTTCATCTTCATGAATAGCTATCATCACGTACTAGAGTATAGTGCTAACCCGGTGTTCTTAACTGAACTGCTTGCTTATTAATTAACCGGCGGCGGCGGCCTTTATTGCGCGGCCGCGATCATGGAGGATGACCGGTGGCTGGGCCACGGCGGGGACGGCGGCCGCTTGCGCTGGTGGTGGTGGTGCTTGGCGGGGCGGTGTGTGGACGCCTCCAGCTCCGAGGTCAGGATGTCGAACATCACCTGCACGTCCCTGTAGCCACAGGTCTGCACATCCTCGTGAAGCTTCAGTATGCTGCCGCCGCTGCCTGCAGGGGGAGAGTTTCAGGGATAAGGATCTTGTCACTGTCATGGTCATGGATCACCCATTCACCCCACCCCAAAGGGAGAGGACAGAGGAGGATCAAAGATTCAAAGGGAATTGTGATAGAGGCGTCTGTTTTTTGTCCACTTTGCTAGTGGAGGGAAAAAAGGGGTGTAGAATGCTGGCCGCCTTTTGACCTCCCGATTTTGGGTGGAGAGGAATGAAATGCAAATATACTCACGATATTTGTGACACTGTTTTACTGCTGGAATTGTGGAATATTCATGCTGAGCGCATCGTTGAATTTGACCAATCCATTAATAATTGTACTATGTTAATTTGTATGCTTTATTTAACCTTATATTCCAATAATAAATAATGTCTCTTTTTTTTAGAAGAGGAATGTATAGAATATAGGATAAAGGAATTCCTAAGATAAATAATGTCTCTTGTGTGGGCCTAGATTGCATGCAAAAGGCCCACAGGCCCATGTAGTAGACGTGTGGTCTGTTACACCGAGGGTCCTTACATACGGATGGGCCCGAACTTGTCAATCTAACTGAAATGCATAAAAGGCTAAGACTGTGTGGGCTTCGACTGGAACTGGAGGCCCATATTCGCTAAGATGTCCTGATGTTCACAGTAGCTTCCCTTTAGAAAAAGGAAGTGAAGTGTTAGTACGGTTCTCTAAAACGAAAATGACGTTGGAAAATTCTCAAAAAAAAATGACGATGGAACGGTTTACGGCAAAGCGCTAGAAACCAAGAAACTACTCCAATCAAACGAAGAAAGCAGAGAAACAGAAAGATGAGGTAGTAAGCATCTGTTCCACCAGAAAAGCTAGCACAAAACGGACGGTAAGAGGATCGACCGACACCTTCTTTTCCCGCATGGCCACATTCAATATTCTACCAGGACAGCAACTCGTGCTGCACCGTAAGGTTCATCCTTATCTACAATTCGAAACGACACAAAGTAAAGGAACTACCTGAGCAAAAGAAGAAAAAAGGGTTCCTCCCTTCAACTTTTCCAGAACCAAGAACATTTCCCTTCCGGAGTACGAGTTCTCACCACCAGGTTCGTCTGCGCTCCTAGTCCCTGCCGCACCAGCACCATGGAGATGGAGACACTGGCTTTATTCCGTTTCGATCGGCATCCGGCAAGTCAAATCCTGACCGGGAACGAGCACCACACACACGGCCACACGGGTTACCCGCCCTAGTGGCATGGCTTTACGCCCCCGCACCCAGGGCAATCCAACGGGCGGCCGGGGACAGAAAGGAGAAAGCGGCTAGCCGGCTACGCTTCCAGCCTTCCATGCATTCCACGACGACGAAAAGGCCGTCGCCCGGTACCCGTCCGTCTGCTGTCGATCAGTCAGTAGTCACATTGCTGCCTCAGCCTCCATCCAACCGAGATTGAAAAGAAAAGCAGCCTTCCACGAAGACGAAAAGAAGCGTCTGCTCGTGACGTTCCAATCGGAGAGAGTGAAACGAACTGTTTTCCGGAAGGACACCCGGTTTGGTTTCCGCACGCTCACCAGTCACAGAGCCCACAAGCCCTGTTCGTTTGGTTTGTTTGTCTTATAAGTCATGGCTGAAAGTATTGTTGGCTGGTTTGGTATGAGAGAAAAAATACTATTCGTTGGCTGATAAGCTATGGCTTATAAACCAAATACAACCAAAGGAACAGGCTGAGACTATTGCTAGGTCATGTATACTACTCTTGCTACTAGGAGTACTATAGATCATCAGCTGTCCAACGGCTCGGGCTGTAGACAGGTTGGTGGTGTAAGGGCGCGTTTTGGTTCGTTGCATGAGTTGCGGCATGCCGCGGCCTTGCCATTACTAACCAGTTCATTTTCCTCGCCGAATCGCGCCGCAAGTGTGGCGAACGAATTTGGCACCGAAGTTTTGGCGCAACAGCAGATTAGTTGTGGTATACTGGTATGCAACCGCTGTGAAGTGGATGGGCGTACACGCGGTCCGATTGATTGCGCTGCCCCGTTGTCCGATGCCCGGTGCCACGTCGCCATATGAACCTTTGCGGCCGCTGGACAGAGAGAATCTCTCGGCGCAGCACGGACCAGCCACCAGCGGCAGCGGCTCAGAAGCTCGCCGCCGCAACTGCAGAGTGCAAGCCCAGGTTCACACCGCAACGGAGGTGGCTGAATTATTGGAGTGAAAAACTGAAAGGCACTTCACGCTTGAAGGGACAGAGGCAACAGACAACAAGATCGGAGCTGCAACAGAACGGAACGGAGCGGAAACACCCCACTTGGCCTTATGGGCTTATGGCCGTCGTTGTTCTCGACTGAGGATTCAGATTTGCGTTGCGTGCCGCTGAGGCTTGAGCTGAAAGGGACGTGGGTTGCAGATCTGAGATGAGGACTAACTAATCGTACGTGTATTACTAGACTAGATGATTGGTGTGGGGGTCATTAGCATTAGTTGTTTGGCAGAGGATCGGAAGATATGCAGTGCAGCTCGCACTGACGGTCACCAGTAGCGGTACACGGTACTGGGACGGTTACTGGTTGGCGAGCCTACTGCCCCAACCGCGCCCCATCTGCCTCGTGACACTTGGCAGCGCCTATCGTGTGGTGGGTGGGTGTGTACCGTGTACGACTTGTGCTAGTATTAGTACTAGGTACTGCTGCCAACAGTTGCACAAGATCTCGCTGTCTGGTGATGCTAATTCTTTTCCAAGCTGCTGCAAGGTCTGTGTCGTCCGCTCGTATTGCACTTCACTGTAGCACCGTACCCACATGTCCAGGTTGACTTTCTCTGACGACATTAAGTTTGGTGTACCTCTGCAGATTGGAAATTTGAGTAGTCCATGAGGAAAAAAACGCTGCCTAATACACCCTGGACTGGACATCCAAAGATCTTTTGGGGCATCACCATCAGCAACCAACCAATGTTACGTACTCTGCACTCTAGAGAGTAGAGGCTGTTATGTTTTATTTGAAAAGATCTCGGGTCCACATGTTACAAAGTTTAGGGGAACTACAACTTTGGAGAGGGTGTTTTAGTTAGTGGGAGCTGTGTGGAAGCGATAAAGGAAAGAGTGTTTCCAGAGGTAACCTAAAAGGTCTATCTAATTGACTCAGCAGGACTCTGGTCTCCACGCTCTACTACTCCCTAGTGGAGGTGGAGAAGAATCACATTCCACCATGCATGGATAAGTGCTTGCTGGATGGGAATGAAATCGGGGAATAGTCAACTCACGCAGTAAGGTAAAGGTAGGTTACGCAACCAAGTTGCTCAAGATCGACACCATGAAATAACGTTTAAAACGGATGGTTCCTAGAGGCTGAAGATTGTTTGTATCGCGAAGTTTCAGAATGACCGATTCTTTTTCAGTATGACGCCAAGGAAATGGCGAGAAAATGAGAGGACCAAGTATATCTGGCCTTTTTTTTCACCGACGACTAATTTTCTGGAATCTTGAATGAGACAGATGAAATAGATAGATTAAGAAGGAAGACAAGTAGGATGGCTCTAGCGTCCCTGGACTACATACGGTTCTCTGTTCTTCAACTAGGTAGCTGCTATAAACTATATATAGTGATGTTCAACAAAGCTCACCGACACTCTGCTACTTACTAGCTACCTCGTTGCAGTTGGCCAGTTGCAGGATTTATAGTTCAACGAAGTCACTGAAGTGTCCTTATACTGAACTCTAGTCTTCATCTAAAGAATATACTGAACTCTAGTATGATCAAGAAGGCAGTACTGAAGCAGCCAGCAATTCCTATGTGAATGATCTGCTTGAAAAACGAGAACGAACGCGAGATTTCAGATGGTGTCTCCAGGAAACGAAAGAACTCTATGAACAGAGTCAGCCAGTGGAGATCGATCGACCACAACGCGCAACGGCGCAAGGACATGGCCTGCAAACTAAACGGCGACTGACGTGGCCGGGGCTCAAAGAAAGCCAAAGCCAAAGCCAGCACTCCACCGGCTAGAAGCCTATACTCTATAGGCACCTACACGATCACAAGTTCACAGCAGGCAGCAGCCAGTCGTGGCGCGTGGAGCCGATCGAGGGCGTTAGGGGGGAACGGTGCCGCGCGTACCTGTGTTGCGCGCGCGGACGCGTGTGGAGACGGCGGCCCACGCGCGGCGCGCCGGGGAGACCACCTTCTTCCGCCACCACGCCATGACAGAGCGCACGGGCGCCGGGATCCTCGCGGCGGCCAGCCTCGACGCCTGCCGACGCGCTCCCCGTCAGTTTCCCCTGCCCGCCTCTGCTCTCTGGTGGTGACCAAGTCAGGTGTGGCTGCAACTGTTCGTTGCTGCTGCTGCTGCTGCTGTTTATGGAGAAAGAGAGGGAGAGAGCGCGCGCGCAGAGGCAGAGCTGCGTGTGTTGGTTCGTTACGGCAGTTTTATTGGCCTGGGCGCCTGGCCGCGGCCGACGGCTGAATTTCCTGCGTTTTCGATGGGCGGGCGTGCTCTGCTCCTGCTTTTTATCCCGTGCCTTCCGCGAGGTCGGCAGGTGCAGGTACTCTGCCTGCGTCGTCTCTGCCTGGTAACCTGTCCCCACCAGGCAAAACGAAGCGAAGCGGCGCGTGTCCGTGTCCGTGCCTCGTGGCGGCAGGCCAGTCGAAGCCGAACACTTGTGGGGGCAGCAGGGCGCGCACGCGTACGTGCGAGTGCCTCTTGGTCTCTCGGCTCGGACAGGGAATTTGACCCGAGCGCGACCCGCACCGCCCAACGGCGTGGTTACGTACGTATGCCCACACAAGGGGAGGAAGGAATTGCCCGGCGACCGCGACCTAACCTTCGGCCGCGTGCTGGTGTCACGGTCCACTGTCCTCTCCTTCCGTCAGGGTTAGGTATCCAGCTAAAGTTTGACACGGATGCTGTTTCCACAGGGACATCTGACCGTCGAATTCTTAGTATGTATGTACCGGGTGACTGGTAGCTGCTACTGCCTCTATTATTTGGCTTTCAGAATTCAGGGTTGTTTGTTGATAACAACCATGGACGTGGCTTATAAAAACGATCGTAAATTTTCGCCCGAACAAGATTTTTCTCTCACACAAACAAAGCCAAAGTGATCTTCTTCACTAACCAAAGAAAGCTAAACGAACCAGCCAACCGAACATTTGAACAAGCCCTTGGAATGATGAAGAAGAAACCGTATGTTTGGTTGCAGTCCACGACGATCCCTGGATCTCGCTGGCGTATTTGTAGACTTGTGGCTCGACTTTTTTTGCCGCTTCACAAAGCAAACAAGAAGCCGCTTAGCGCGCATGGCGGTGCGGTAATGGCGACGGCCGGCACCCCTCCCATCCCCATCTAGGCGCGAGTGCTTGCCAGTGCGCACTTCCCTCTGCCGCGGGCGAGTCCGGAAACGGCTCCGCACGATGTGGCGACGGCCGGCACCCCTCCTACCTCCATCCAGGCACGGGGCGCTTGCCGGTGCACACCTCCCTCCATCGCAGATGAGTCTGGGAACGGCTCCGCGTGGTGTGGCGGCGGCCGGCACCCCCTCTCCCCGCCCAGGCGTGGACAGTGCGTGCCTTCCTCTGTTGCGGGCAAGTCCGAGGACGGCTCCGCAGTGTGGCGGTGGCCGGTACCCCCTTCGTCCAGGCATGGACGCTTGTAGGTGCACGCCTCCTACCAACGTGGGCGAGTCCGAGAACGGCTTCGCACGGAGTGGCGACGGCCGGCACCCCCCCTCTTCCATCCAGGCGTGGGCGCTTGCTGGTGCGCGCCTCCCACCGTCGCGGGATAAGTCTGGTAATGACTTTCGCGCGGTGTGGCGACGGCCGGCACCCCTACTCCCTCCATCAAGACGCGGACGCTTGCCAGTGTGCGCCTCCCGCTCGCCGTTGCAGGCGAGTCTAGAAACGGCTCCGTGCGTTGTGGCGGCGCGCCCCCGACACAAGGCTTGGGCGAAAGCCTTGCCAAGTTCTTGCTTGGCTGGCGATGATTACGTTCTGGCATCATTCACCTACTTAGAGGCGTCACCGAAGGGCTTTTGTGCGTTGGTGTGGTAGTCTTTGCATTTTCGCCGATGTATTTGTGGTCCTGCCACTTTTCGCCTTGGTGCTAAGGCGTTTTTCTATTGTTGTTTTTCTCCTCCTCAATGTTTGTAAATCATATAACGAGCCGATTTGGAGCTATATATCAATATATATTCAGGTGGGGTGTAATCCTCTGGTGACATTAAAAAAGAGTTAAATGCACCAGAGATCCATTAACTTGTGAGGAGGTTTCAGTTAGGTCCATCAACTTTCAAAGTGGCTTTTGGGTCCATAAACTTTGTATGCCGATCACTTAGGCCCATATCTCCCCACATGGACTTTTTTATGCTTGATGTGGCTGCGACTTGGACCTTCATTTCGTCAAACAAACATGTCGTGGCGCATGTGAGCAGTGCCGCCGCCGCCGCTATGAGGCATAAGCAGGCCCCAGGGCACGCGTGCAGGTACTGAGTGCTCAAGGCGGTGGGCGGACGAGTGGGCGCAGCGTACAAGATACTACGAGGGCCGCGCCACGGGACGGCGGCGGCGCTTGGAGAAGCCATTGTTCCGGAATGCGGCGGCGTCGTGGTGGTGTCGCCGTTGTTTCGAGGACGCCAGACGCCGCTGCGTGCTATTGTCGGTGACCAAAGAGCAACGATTGCGCTATGGTAGGGGGGTCGGGCCACACCGCGCGGACGCCTTCACAGGCGCGCGCCTCGCGTGGACTAACGCGGGGGACGGCCGCCCTCGTGCTGCGTGCTCTGCCCACGACCGCTGCAGCGTCTTGCGCGCCCCCGCAAAGACTCGAGTCCGTCGCCCGGCGAGATGGGCGCGCGCCGCCATGAGCTGCGACTCACGCCAACGCCACCGGCGATTGCGGGGCCGCGGTGGACGCCCGCGCCCTTCACCCACCCGCCACGCTCGACACGGTGGCCATGGACCCGGACCTCAAGGCCAGCGTCGCGCCGACGACTGGAAAGCTTCCTCAAGGGGCCGCGTACTACCACACCGCCTAGGCGGCGTCGCGCAGGAGCTACCGCTCTACGGTGCTCCCAACATGGGCAAGTCCATGTTCGCCGCCCGCGATGGCGAGGTTCTCGATACTGGCGTCTCACGACATCGACCTGTCCTTGGGGCGGCTGCGGCGACCTCTGCGCACCGCTTCGGACACCACCCGCGGTCGCTCATCCTCGTGGAGGACCTCGATCGCTACTCACACGCGGCGGCGGCGGCAATGGCGGCAAAGAAGGCGGCGGCGAGGGGGCTGCGCGTGTGCTCGGCTTCATGGGCGGGCTCTCCTCATGCTGCGGCGAGGAGCGCGTGATGGTGTTCAACATGAGCGAGCGCCACCCTACGCGCCGGTGCATGCGAAGCTTCGTGGCCACGTCCTCATCCGCGGTGCCGTACATCCGGCCGATGTCCCCATTTACGTCGTCCGTCCTCGTCGTAGCCGCCGACGAGACGAAGCGCGGTTGCCTCACCAATGGCGCCCGCGTCGAGCAGCTGCAGCGGTGATGAAATCTTGACCGTGTCCCATTGCTCCGATTGGTTCGTTAGGGACGGCATGCACCCGAACGAAGGCGGCGTCGACACGCCCAACTTGTCGGCCTCGGTGCGATGTAGCAACGCCCTTGCAGCGGCGTCGCCGCCGTGTGGTCTCCAAAGCGGTGGGTCGACATCCGTATAGCTCGCCGCGGCGAAACACACGGCCGGTGCTCACGTAGATGGGTCCACGAAGGCCATCGAGGCGGGTTGATCTTGATCAAAGAAGACGCGGTTGTGGTTAGCGTGGCGATCCCGTCGGGTCGACGCCGTCAAGCGCTACTGAGGCGGGCGAACACCACGTCGCTGCCTTCGCCGTTGAGCATGTGGCGACGCCGCGCGGAGAGACACGCAAGTTGTTCACATAGTGGTCGCGATCAAGGTTGACGATGAAGAGGGCGCGTTGGAGAGCACGGCCACCGAGGCACGGAGCAGCGCGTTCATGGCGCCCGCCTCGCCGTGGTGCCGTGCACGCGTCGCCGCCGCTCCCGGCACACATGTACACGAAGCGCTTGAAACCCTGACGTCGACGGGCTGAGGTCGGAAGATTGCGGACACCATCGACGGTGGTCTTGGCGTAAGTTGTGGCGTCTTTGCCGGAGTATCGAGTAAATTCAATAGCTCGGCATGATCTTCCGCGGTGCCACGCTGCCAGCAGCTTCCATCGGCCAGCGACGTCGTCGACCGCTGCTGGCGCTGCAAGTCTCCGGCTTGCAGAGCGTTGATCCGTAGCCGCAGTTCTTCGTACTCCCGGCGCACGCGCCTCCGGTCCTGCCGGCTCGGTCGCCCTCTTCCTTATAGTCACCCTCCTCGCCTTGACGCGCGCCATTATCTGGCGCCGGGCTGAAAGTAGGCCTCTGGGTTCCTCGGCTCCACCGCGTGCTTCCGGCAGAACGACACCCACAGTCCAACAAACCGGGCAGTCTCGGCGACCGCGTCGTGCGTGAGCAGAGCGCCGCGTACGAACCCGGAGCAGGGGCTCTAGCGCATGCGGGCTCGACGGACGCCGCGCCGGAGCCGGACTTCGAGTCTGTGAGGATGCCCAGAGGAGGATGGCGGCGCCCGTCGGCGTGATGCGGTTCGGGCGCCATTCGTCGCGCCGCCGCGGCGCCAACAAACCCATGGCGTGGAGTGCGAATGCTTGGGCGGTCGGCGCCGACGCTGGGGATCGAGGCATCGAAGATCGCGGACGATGGCCGCCCTCCCTTGCCGCCTCCTGGCAGGTGAAATGCCGCTTCGACCAACCCCCACGTGGCTGCTGCCCGCAGCTTTTGTGGGTGCTCAGCGTGGCGGCGTGATCGCACCAAAGACGGCAGCCACTGCGCTCGCGCCTTGCGGTATGGCGCATGGCGGCGGCGCACCGCCGCCGCCTACGACATGTTTGATGAAATGAAGAGTCCAGTCGGCAGACACATCAGCATTAAAAGCTCATGTGGAGATATATGGACCTAAGTGATACGGTATACAAAGTTTATGGACTTAAAAGGCCACTTTGAAAGTTGATGGACCTAACTGAAACCTCCTAACAAGTTAATGGATCTCCGATGCATTTAACTCTTAAAAAAAAGGTGGAGCAGCATTGACGTTATGTCAGGCAAACAGGATTCTTTTTCTTTTAAAGACAATCAGAATTCTGGGCCTGTTGGC